TTCCCAGATCCTCTTTTGTTGCCAGTTCAGAGAGTCCAGGTGGTTGAGTATCAGATTGTTCCATCTTGTTTCCCTTTGGGGTTGCTGTAGGTGATCCAGAAGTCTGTTTTTGAGATTTGTTTACGTGTCTTCTCCTTTCCATGGGAGGGGGTGCTTTTGGCGCCCACATAGCTCACCTTCTCTGCCCTAGGAGCTTGGGATGGCAGCGGGGGAGCTTCCTTCCGGGTGCTAGGACTGGCTGAGATTCTCTGCCCTAGGAGCCTGGGATGGAGGTGGGGAGCTTCCTTCTGGGTTCTGGGACTGGCTGAGCTTCTCTGCCCTAGGAGCCTGGGAGGGAGGTGGGGAGCTTCCTTCCGGGTGCTGGGACCAGCTCACCTTCTCTGCTCTAGGAGCCTGGGATGGCAGCAGGGGAGCTTTCTTTTGGGTGCTGGGACTGGCTGAGCTTCTCTGCCCTGACCAGAAAGTTTTTAATTGAAGATACATTTGTCACCATCAATTACAAATATTAGTTCAATTAGATCATGAACCTACAGCAAGTGTCCCTTTCTCTTCAGCTTCCCTCTTTCTTCACTCACATCCTTTCACCAAGAAAGAATTTGGCTTTGTACAATAACATATTTCAAAAACCAGAGAGCAATCTGTAGCCCTAAATATATATGCATTCATTATTTCATTCAGTTTTATTCCCTCATTCATTCATGCATTGACTTGATCATTTGAAATGACATGATAAAGCCGGTTACTCAAAGGAGTAAATAACAATACAGCTCTAGGGTTGGGGATTTAGCTCAGTGGTTCTGCCACCTGCTCTGATAGTGCAAGGTTCTGAGTTTGATTCCTGGTACCAAAAAAACACAAACAAAACAAAACAGAAAACCAATACAGCTATAGAACTTAATGAAACACAGAATGCCAACCACTTAGAAAGCATGGATGTGGGGAGACTCACCATTGAAGTTAACACTGCGGATATATTTCAATAACTTCTTGCCTCCAGCTTGCTCCATCTCTGGGCAAACACCCCGGTAATCAGCACAGAGATCCTTGTTCATATGATGAAGGGCATGAGCCATGGCATAGACGGCATCAATCACGAACTGAACTTTACCCTCCTGCTCATAGTTGGAATCTTTTCCAATTCTCTCCTGTCCTGCACATTAAAACAGGAAACACACATGCAAAGACTGGTGTTGAGTAGATCTTAAATGTGTATTTACTTTCGATTATGCACAGAGAAAACAAGCTTTGAGGAGAATAAGACTGCAAGCCACAAATCCACATTTGGCGACCATGTCAGATATTTTCAATAGCTAGTGGTATTTTACTTTGGAGTACATTATATTAACCCCTCCAATTTACTAGACAAACTTTAGAAGTAAAACCTCAAAGATCACTATGACAGCTTTTGTAATAAGCTAATACATTATTCAAAATATAGTGGTCCCAGAGAATCAAAGAATTTTTGGAACAGAAGCTGAGTTGTCACATTCAAATCTTCAAAGCTTGCTTGTTCTGGAAAAGCTAACAAGGAAATAATAGAAAACATACTACATTCTACTTAACTTATTACCTTTTACATACTTACTGTACCTGCTGTGTAGGCTATCTGAATAGACACTCAGCTACTTCAGCTAGAAACTCTATTGTCGTTATTTCTCTCTACTTCCTCACCCTCACATATATAAGTCTAATGTATAATAGTCCTGTCAATTCTAGCTCTGAAACACTGCACAGTTTTGGATTCCTTACCAATGACCTGGTTCATCAATTTCACCTTTCATCAGGATGCAATGCTTGGTGTCTCCCTTCAGCTATTCATTCTTTCCTGTTCATGTTTGCAAACTACACAGCTGATCATCTGCTCTCATGCTGAGAATCCTTCAGTGGCTCTCCCAAAAGAAGATCTAAATCTCCTCCCCTGACAATAATGGGCACTGCTCATTTGTTCCTCCCTTCCTAGTAATGATAACAACAAATATTCATTAAGTGTCCATGCTGTGTTGAAAACAATACATATCTTTTATTTTTAATTTTTACATTGTAAGTTACAGATTATTTATTCTTACTCTACTCATAGGAAAACTAAGCTTCATAGAAATTGACTGATTTTCTCAATATCATCTTGTGTTACAGCACTGATGACAACTCAGGCTTCATAGACCCTAAAGCCCACATTCTTTTTATTACACTGACACTGCTGGACTCTTTCTGTATACTTTTTCTTCTAAATTTAGATGACTTGTTTTATTTATTTTTGCTTATTGTCTCTACTTCGCTAGAGATGTCTTTTCTCCTTACTTTCACCCATTATGACTTAGTTCTCTTCCGAGAGAAACCAAAAATCTCTGACACATAGTTCTTCAACCTCAATTAAAAACTGATATAGAAGACACCAAATTTCTATTCCAGCATTAATGATAGCATTATATTTTAATGTTCCATCAGTAGTTCTCTCAAACATTTTTTTATTTTTGCTTTTCGCTTTATATTCCCAGTATGGAAAACAACACTTAGCATCTAGCCTCTAGCAGATACTGAGCAACACTTTTATTAAATTATGTATTCAATAAGTACTTGATGCCAATAATTCTCATTCTGTCTCTCTTCTCTTTATGAAGAATAATTATCCACAGATTGCATTTCACTTCCACAGTGATATTTCCAAAATTATTTTCTTTGGTACATTTGTGTCATGAAGAAACAGTGGAAGTCCCACAACACTAAATCTTTCCCTTCAAAATATGCAAAGGGCTTTTGACACCAACTGTATCAAAATAATCTTTAGATTTCTTTACATACTACACACTTTTTAAAAAAACCTTTAATATTAAAATGTAAAGTATGATCTCCATGGAAAAAATTCAGAATTTATTAAATTTATTCCTCTCCCCTTCCTTTTTTTTTTTGTAATGGGTATTGAATCCAGGGCCTTTGCACTCCTGGACTGCAGGAATGTCGGGCCTATGCCATTACACCCAGCTGTGTATTTTTCCTTTTAAGAATACATAGTAATATCTCATATTTCATATACTTTATGTTCTATGTGACTTCATTATAGTGCCAATCAATCTGATGCTCACTGCAGGTCATCAGGAGAGGGCTTGACAGTGTATGTATCAGATTTGTTTCTGGAAGATAAAATTCATCACAAACTCATATTGCTACTCTCAAATCCAACTCAAGATTGTAGTAGGTCTTTTACTCAATCTTGACACTTTTATACACTTTCTCTTAAAAGGTAAATGGTGGTTCTTGATGACGGTGCCACAATTATGCATTTGCTTTAACCCATAATATAAAAATAACTGTCTTAGAATAACAAGTATGTTTAACAAGTGAAAAACGATAATGTAATGAATAGCCTTGCATATATACTTTTTCTAATTTTGGTATATTTTTGAGATACAGTCTGAGAAGTAGGATTATAATATTAAAGGGTTAATTCATCCATACTTTGGCAGTAAATTGGTGAACTCCTCCTGAAGGGGTTTCACCATTTTGCTGTCCTTTATGTAATAGAGCAGAATATGTTTTCTGTAACCCTACCAATAGAATACTATGTTGCTAAATGTGAATTTGTATCAGGTATTGAGAAATGGTACCATAGTGCATTTTTCTTATGTGGGAGGCCAAACACCTTTGCATATGGAGAGATAAATACTTTTTAGGTAAAGTATTCAAAATGTAGGCTTTTTTATTAAACACTCATTTCCTTTTGTATTTCCAAAAACACTATTACTATATATACCTAGAGATTGCTTGCAATTATATACCCCAATTTGTCATTTTTACATTACTTTTTTATTAACCTATTGTCAAATTATTTTATTTTTTTCCTTAAATTCTTCTATTGGTACATTTTCGGTATACAATACATTTACATTTATTTTTTCCAAGAGTATATTATTAAAATTTTCCTAAAAGTTTATTGATTTTTCTGCTTTTATCGATTCCAGATTCTGAACCACCATTACAAAGTTTCTCCATTCTGAGAGTATCAAATTCTACCCATGTTTTCTTTTAGTACTTGCACAATTTTATTTTCTTGAGGTAAAAACTTGATAAACTCGAATTGTATTTTGGTATGCAGTGTAAAGAATGAATCAAAGTTTTATCTTCTTCCATATAGCTGTCCTAAATGTAACTGGTATTTTATTTGTAACATGTACAGTCATCTCTGATCTGAGGTGCTATCATTATTACATATTAAATTTTCATGCGTGATTGTGGCTGTTTCAGGATTATTAAAATGTGTTTCTTTGTTCACTCATGCACTAATACCAAAATTTCAATTATAAAAGTTTCATAACATATTTAAATACCTATTAGAGACAGTCCTTCACACACTGTAATTTGTTTTGTTTTGGTACCGGGGATTGAACTCTTTTATTTATTGCTTAAATTCTTTTATTGGTACATTTTAGGAATACAATATGTTTACATTTATCATTGGGTGCTTGTACCTGTACATGATGTATCTTGGTTCTTATTTTTTC